GAGAGAGAGAGAGAGAGAGAGAGAGAGAGAGAGAGAGAGAGAGAGAATGAGAATGTATGTTCAGGTGAACATACATATATGTGGAGGCCAGAGATCAGCTAGGTGTCTTTCCTCGGGCACCTTTCACCTTGCTCTTTTGAGACAGGGTCTCTCATTGGCCTAGAACTCATCTGGCTGGGCTGAGTGACCAGAGCACTGCAGGGATTGTCTGTCTCCACTTCCCCAGTGCTGGGATTGTAAGCATGTGTCACCATGCCCATTTTTCTAACATTTAGTTTATTGTCATTTATGTGCATTGCTTAGTTTTTTTTCCCTCTTTCTTTCTTTCCTTCTTTCTTCCTTTCATCATCTTGACATAAGTTCAAGTATCTGGGGGGAGAGAACTTTAGTTGAAAAAAAAAACCCGCTTTCACTAGACTGACCTGTAGGCAAGTCTATGGGGCATTGCTTGAACAATAATTGATGTGGAAGGGCCCAGCCTACTGTGGGTAGTGCCAGCCCTTGCCCTGTAGTTCTGGGAAAGTATAAGAAATCAGTCTCTTCTCTATGGCCTTACTTCAGTTCCTCCTGTTTCCTGCCTTGAGTTCCTGCCCTGATTTCCCTTCCCAGTGGACTGTAAGCTCTAAGATGAAATAAACCTTTTTCTCCTCAGATTGATTTTGGTCATTGTGTTTATAACAGTAAATAGAAAGTAAACTGTGACAGTGTGTGTGTGTGTGTGTGTGTGTGTCTGTGTGTGTATCTACCACATGTGTGTGGGTGTACAGGAAGGCCGGAAGAGGAGCTGCAGGCAATTATGAGCCTCTTCACTTGGGTTCTGGAAACAGAATGGGTGATCTGGAAGAACACCAAGTCCTCTTAACCACTCAGCCATCTCTCCAGGCTGCTGCTGCTCCTCCTCCTTCTTCTTTTTTAAAATGTGGCTTCTGGGGATCAAACTTGGTTCTCATGCTTGCAAGGCAAGCACTTTACCCACTGGCTGTCACTCCCGTCTCTTCTTCCTGAAAGTTCTTAACTGTATGCTATCCTTAATGTAAAAGTCTTACAGTTGTGCAATATGCATTCTATATTTAGCATGACTTTTTTTTTTCTCTTAAGGATTGACTCTAGCGCATTGCACAAGCTGGACAAGCACTCTACCACTAAACTACCTCCCGCAACCCTCTTTTCACTCTTTACTCTGAGATAGAAAATCACTAAGTTGCCCAGGATAGTTTTGAATTCACTCTATAGCTCAAGCTGGCCCTGAACTTGTAACTCTCCTGCACCAGACTCCTGGGTAGCTAGAATTATAGGCCTGTGACACTAAGGTTGGCAGCATGTGACATTTCTACAATAAAAAGGTACAGACTTTATAGTACGCGACAGGAGGATTTCAACAAGTGGTTCTCAACCTTCCCAACGCTGTGACTCTTTAATGCAGTTCTTCATGTTGTGGTGACCTCCAACCAAGAAATTATTTCATTGCTATGTCTAGTTGTAATTTTTTTTACAGATATTTACATTATTAATTATAATGTAAATATATTATATGCAGGATATCTGATATGCAACCCCAAAGGGGTTGCATGATCCACAGGTTGAGAACCACTGATTTAAACCCTATGTCCTCTGAACTGAAAATAAAATAACCCAACACACACACACACACACACACACACACACACACACGAGTTCCTTTAGCAATTCTGTAAACAAAGGATAGTTTTATTGATGGATTCCAATAATTTTCAGAACCATACTCTATCAACATCATTAAAAGTGATTTGACAAGGACCCAGTTCCACAGCAGTGAATAAGCATGCTTGGGAGTATTGGCTGTATTCTCTTCCCCTAATGAAAATGCTTCAATATTCTCTGTCTCCTGAAGAAAATGATACTTAACATTTTATTGGCATTTTCTATGATGGCAGAGCAAATGGATGCCAGGTTCAGGTCATGTTGGGTGTCACTTGTAATGAGAGCCTCAGTGGTCTATATATATGTATAAATTTATTAAGACTTCTATGGGGAAAACTGACTCACTGATACAGGATAAGGTAAATCCAGTTGCAGAGTCCTTGGAAAGCTGGGGACTGATCACATGATCACATGATCTGGTCTTCACCACCCAAGAGACCGAGACCCCTTTTCTCCTTCCTTTTAAGTGATCACGTAGGCGGATAAGAAGCACCACCTCTATCAAGCCAGATAGCCCAAGATCATGGGCAGAGCAAATTCCCACTACGTGCATGTGTGCTTGCACAAAAGTTTGTATAAGTTCAGGTGCAAGTGTGTGCATAGGTGCATGTGTGTGCATAGATGCATGTGTATGTATAAGTGTGTAAGTATGTGTGGAGGCCAGGAGACAACCTAGGGTCTTACTCCCCAGGAGCCAACCCCTTGATTCTTGAGATAGAGTCTCTCATGGCTTGGAACTGGTCCCTTAGGCTGACTGGTCAGTGAACTCCAGGGATCCACACTTGTCTCCAGCTCCCAACAGCTGGAGCTGTTTAAATGCATGCTAATGAACCTACTTTTTATGTGGCTGATGGGGACTGGACTAGGTCCTCATGTTTACGCAGCTGGCACTTAGCCAATTGCCGGTGATTTTCCCCAGCCTGCAAATGGATTTTTAAGTCTTCACAGGTGATTCCAGGGAATGGCCAATTTGACAAGAGTTTGTGCCGGAAGTTCTTCTTGGTGCTGGAGTTATTATAGCCAACAAACTAGACAAGATAATTACCAAAGGAAATTAAGCATGTAAATTAATAAGATAATGTCTGGTAGAAGTAAATGCTATTAGGGGAAAAAAATCCTACTGTAATGGGCCAGGGAACAGTCCAAGACAGAGTCACTTGTACAGGAAAATACCAAGATGAAGCTCTCCCATGTTATTTCAGGGAAGGCTTAAAGCCCAAGAAGGTGTCATAGGAGGCCCCAGAAAGAGCATCTCAGAGAAGGAGCACTTCAGGTGTATGATGTACCCTTCCCTGTTCCCTGCAGATCCCTCCTCAGAGCTCTCTCCTTGCTTGTTGTTACATAAAGCTGACCAGCAAGGGCTTCATCAGCAGGGCCTGGAGTGTAATGATCCTTGGTGTGGCCCCAAGGCAAGGTGATCTACAGTGTGAGTCCCTGGGACTGGGGACCTCAGTTGTAGGGCCTGAGGGTAGGATTTCTTTTCTTTCTTTTATTTTCTTTCTTTTTGGTTTTTTGAGACAGGGTTTCTCTGTGTAGTTTGGGTGCCTGTCCTGGATCTCGCTCTGTAGACCAGGCTGGCCTCAAATTCACAGAGATCTGCCTGATTTTGCCTCCTGAATGCTGGGATTAAAGGCGTAAACCAGCAACGCCCGGCTTTCTTTCTTTCCTTTTCTTTTTTAAAAGAATTTCTTTCTTTCTTTCTTTCTTTCTTTCTTTCTTTCTTTCTTTCTTTCTTTCTTTCTTTCTTTATTTATTTATTTATTTATTTATTTATTTATTCTATGTGTCGTTTACATCATCTATCTTGGTCCCATTCATTTCCCCATCCCTTCACGTCCTCCCGCCACTCCTGCATCCCCCCCCCAATAAAACAAAATTTAAGAGACAAAAGGAAGAAAAAGGGAAAACTTTAAAAATCATGGAAGCTGTGGTGTGACACAGTGAGTCACACAGTAAACCCCTTTCTCCATACATCTTTACTTGCAAGTGTTCACTGCAGAGAGCCATTGGTCTGGTTTGAGGTCTCTCATTTCTGCTACACTGTGGGGGCCCAAATTACGGAAGGTCAGAGCCTGAGCTTGCTCAACCCAGCAGAGCTGCATAATGGGATGATTTGGCCACAGGCATGGTGGTTAACAGGTGTTTTGAAGGGTCTACACTTGGCTGTACGATGTGCTTTGACCTTGAAAGGGGGAGATCTTTTGCCTCACCCCTTAGCATTGTACAAAAAGCCATTTGGAATTAACCTTGAGGCAACAGGGTATTGACTCAGAGCCCTCCTAAAG